TTTTTTTTTACTGTCACACCACTACACACTTACTGAAAACGGCAGTTGAATTTCACTCTCAGCTTTGTCGTAGTATACATGCTCACTGTCGTTTGGTTCCTTACTGTTCTTTCCCTGAACCACTTGAACGTTGGGGTGTATGTTCCCACCAGCATGGCCGGACAGCCTCATCACAGTAGGATGTATTCATGGACAAGACCGAATCGTCCCCCGTCTCTCGGCGTCTTGGTGTCTTCCATCCTGTCCACACGGTTAAGTCCCAATAGCAAAATGTCACTGGTGTGCTACTGGTTAAGTGGATCGTGTTGGATTATCGGAATAGAATGACGTGCCCGCCTACCTTCCGATAGCTCAGTATTATGGGGTTCAACGAAGCTCAGCAGCATCATAGCCTTTCCACTAGCCCCGTGTGATTTTCTACGCAGCTCCAAGNTGTACGTCATTGCTATGTGCCTGTTTTTTTTTACTGTCACACCACTACACACTTACTGAAAACGGCAGTTGAATTTCACTCTCAGCTTTGTCGTAGTATACATGCTCACTGTCGTTTGGTTCCTTACTGTTCTTTCCCTGAACCACTTGAACGTTGGGGTGTATGTTCCCACCAGCATGGCCGGACAGCCTCATCACAGTAGGATGGACAAGACCGAATCGTCCCCCGTCTCTCGGCGTCTTGGTGCCTTCCATTCTGTCCACACGGCTAAGTCCCAATAGCAAAATGTCACTGGTGTGCTACTGGTTAAGTGGATCGTGTTGGATTATCGGAATAGAATGACGCGCCCGCCTACCTTCCGATAGCTCAGTATTATGGGGTTCAACGAAGCTCAGCAGCATCATAGCCTTTCCACTAGCCCCGTGTGATTTTCTACGCAGCTCCAAGGTCAAATTCATAACGTTTTGCAGCCTTTTGTACGAACCACATACAACTACCATACTGATCACATTTAGTCTGAAGTTGAAAAGAGTAAGCACAACTAGAATAACGTCTCAGGGTTAGATTAGGATGAGTTTCAGAGCGTGTGATTGGTGTGTGTGCTTCCTTGTCACGTGATGAGTGCCTTAACTATCTCTCACCAACAGCTGTTTCGACACAGCAAGTAGGTATAGTTTTACCTCTGGCAACTTATTTTGCGAAGAGCATGCATGTTTGCCTGACGTCAGTTACTATTTAGGTCGACATTTGTTTTTCGATCTGCTTAGTCCGTGCTGTGCTTGTGTAAAACTGTAGGTTGCTCTTTGGTTACGACGACCGTCGTATCCGATAGTGTGCAACTACGAAATATCGGACAAATGATCACTGACAAAGAAGTCATCAGACTTCATCAGTGTTCTTGATAAATGGGGTGGATCAACATTGGTGAGTTGACGTTATGCTTCTGTAAACCCCAGGATCTTGATGCTATTGACATCGACCGCGCTCTAAATCAGCGGCGTAATCAGTGTAATGTCTCCCTGCGGGTGTTTAACCCAGATGGGCGGCATTGCCCAAAGAATCATAGCAGGTATTTACTAGAACGAAATTACCGTTTTCTAAGCTCTCGTGAGAAAGGCAAGAGTTGTGTGCTCATCTTCAAACTAATTTGGTTTTCGAAAATGAATTTACTTTGTCGATTACGTGCAATTTGGACCTAGGTAGATCGACGAAAACTCGGAGCTGTGCCTAACTGAAGAGTCCAATGAAGGGTGAAGCCGGTCGTGAGCCGACAAAGAGTATTCAGCGTCTCATTAGTAGTGTTCATTCAAGGTCCCACGTGCATGATGCTTTATAAATAAGCATAATATCTCTCTCATGTATCAAGCTGAGACCAATAACAAAGGCATTTTCCCCACAGGTGTATTCGCCGTCCCATATCCCTTCATGAATATGTTGCAGTAACTCTTAAATCAACAGTGGCCGAGAGGTAACGTCTGAAGGAGAATTAAGGTCGGATAAGCTGCGATTCCAGACCTCACTCAAATGCATCGTATTGCTTTTGGATAATGTGCTACCTGTTGAGAAAATGTCAGCGGTCTCGATCTTGTGTTTACCATCCAAGCTTCACATAAATTCCATCACATCGATTTTTTTGGAATTGTAATCAGCTTCACTCAGATTTGTTGAATCCGTCACTGCTGCTGTGCGCAAGCGGTGGTAAGTAACAGAATATAATACACTGTTTCTTCATTAAAGTTACTGTTGACCTGACCTACTGAATCCACACGTCCTAATCCACGAAAGCCACTGATCACGTGACCTTGTAGCTCTGCAGAAGCATCTGTCCATATGAGAGCGATGATTCATCAGTGACAAGTTGCCGAGTAAGCTGCCACATATCGGTCCATTTTAAATCACCCGCATATTTAGCACAACAGCTCATGCAGAAACAGGTTTCCAGGTTGCCGTTTTGTTCATTTTTATTGAAAATTAAGGAAGCTATTGAACACTGTACCCTTATTGGGTAGGTCAGCGTTGTGGAACCACAAATTCATTGTCCAGGACGATGCACACCTCATAAGAGTTCGCTTACCTGGTCCAGATCATGTGACCAACCATCGCCAAGTTGTGTGACCTGTGCCCGTTTAAGATACGCTTTAATAAAGAACTTTCCTATTATTTAAATCTATCCGCGGCTCCAGAATTTGTCGCTTTTCGTCCCAGGCGGATGCAAGCTCCGTATAATGCATCAAAACTTGAGCTTAGTTGTTAAGGCGTGAATCTGTTGGCCTGAAGGTCCGTCGTTTGAACGCAACCTCAGCATCTCTACCGCTACTGTCTAGGGGTTAGAAACCTGACAGTGTCACCACCTCTGTACTGGTGTGGCAGCCAGGCACCGAAAGGGTGTTACAGATGGAGGATTGTCATTGTTTCTATAACGAATTAAAGCTCTTTTCCTTTTGCGAAAGTGTCAGTCGATTGATGTGTGCAGCTATCATATTTGAAGGGTTGATTGATTTGATCGTTTTCTATGGTCTATTGTGGTCTGGGTTTGAACCGTATTGTACTGTACTCAGAAAGCTCGACTGTTAGATCCATCCACTTCAAAATTTACGACCCTGTATGCACACAAATAGATGGTAAATTGTGTCTTATTATATCGTCACTTTGAGTTCGGCTACCGTTTGGATTAACCAACTTGTTTCCTTTTCGATCATCGTTTGTCTTTCACTGCTACATTCCGTCTAAATAAAACTACTACCTACGGGTAGTGAAACGTGCTCAATGGGGTTGATTGACTATCCTAAATAGCCCCACTATTTCATCGAGCACACAATGAGAAGCGAGGCGAATTGTTTGGATCGGTCCCTTGACTGTGTGACGCAGTCGAGCATTTAACCGTGCTGTTGAAGTGCTCATCTATTCTCTTTGACAGTCGCCTTATCTGCTCCATTGGATACAAACTCATTTTGGGCGGGGACTGACATGTTGTTTTCCAGCTTTGAGTCAAGCAAACGGTTCGTTGTAAATCAATAACCCAAAGTTAGTCGTAAATTGGCGTTGTTTGTTTGTTTCCTCTGTTCAGTAGAGCGCTCGTCTCTCATTGTTTTATGATAGTCAAGCGCCAGTATTTACCGATGGTGTGTTGCTGCAGATGAGGATCGTGTCTCCGTAAGTGTATGAGATATCGAGACTGCGTCGATTAATTGTTCGCCCCATGGCAAATGTTGGGGTTGCTGCGTGTTCACTGAAGGCCAAATCTCTAAATCCTCTGATGTAAAAAGTGCCTTTGCCACCCGCGACAGAATGGTCTTGTAGGACTCCCTCACAGTAAACAGAGTGCCGGACTAATTCAACAATATTCCAAAGACCATACCAGAACGTTTCGCAACCCAGGGCTTCCGGGAATTTTCGCCACTTTTTCGTATCAAGCGGGGTTCAGCATTGGTGAGGTTTCCATTTTTACTTCATTTCTTTGTGATTGATGTCCTCAAACGCATTGTTGTTTCTGAGTGGCGCTCATACCGCCTTTTTTGTATTGACCTGAACGTAAGCCCGTCTTTGGCCTTGTCATCACACGTCTCGTTTAAATCAGCTCGTGGGTTTCGCTATCTTGTGGCCACCTTTGCTTGGGTCGGTGTGAACTTTGGAATCCCGTTTGGAATTAGGAGTTCCCAAACCGGGTTAATCCTACGACTTGAGGTTTGTACAACTTTATTGTATCATTGTATTCATCGTACCGTGTCGTACGTGGTCCAAATGATTACTGGAAACAATGAGTACACATGGAGTTGTTGAAAACTCTTTGACAATCAACTGTCGATTTCAAGCATTTTGGAGCTTATCAGGTAGACGCAGTCCCAGAGTTCCCATCAACCTTCTGAACGCCAACTTGTGCGCAGTTGGCGGATCGCAAATCACGTTGATATTAACCGAACATTGCGCCAGAGTTCCCATCAACCTTCTGAGCACCAACTTGTGCGCAGTTGGCGGATCTCAAATCACGTTGATATTAACCGAACATTGCACTGAGTCACTCAGTTATGCCATCATTCAACTGTTGCACAAAGACTGTCTCACGTTCCAATCAGCACGAAATTCAAGAGGTCGCAGTAGACTTCCTTATCATGGCACACCATTTGTAATGTTGCTTCGCCTAATTGATGAACCCCAAGAAAGAACTATTAGTGGACTGTCAAGGTGATTTCACCAACCTTATAAGTAATGTGCTATGTAGGAAACATATACTACAATGTACCGAATATAGTGCCAACCGAGAAATGAAGCGGTTTTCGTACAGAATCTTCAAATGTAGAAAAACATCATGAACGAACATTGAGCTTGATTTCCTTGTTAACACCTCTAATTAGAATGGGGTTTGTTTACTTCCTGATCAACGCCTCCGCAACCCAAATGACGAAAACGACGTAGCACTGCTTTCTGATTGCTTTTGCGGTACCAAGCAATACCTTGATGGATTTTGACGTAACTCCATGCTTACGAAAGCGTCCATTTATGATATCAGACTTGTGCTCCAGAAATCGATCGAAATTCGCTTCTGTCCAGAGATAGCCTCAGTTTGCTATTACGGAACCATGGAATTTTATTAAACCACAGGCAGCATTCTTTGCAGCTCCCAATGTGTTTCAGCGGATGTTTGTCTGTGAGTGAGTCTCTATCTGATTGGTTCTGAGGCTCTGTACCGATTGTTTTAAACTGTATTATTGACTACGATGACTGAACGTTCATAGTTGGACAGTCGAAGCCTGATAACGTCATCAATGAAAAGTTGCGGATTGGTTTCTCAAACCTGTATCACTATCGGACCGTAGTGTTGTCCACTTGCAGAGCCCTAGCCTAACCTTGTGTTGTGCGTCGCCTGGTAACTCCACAATATAAGCCTTTGCCAGAATACCCGCTGGATCACACTGGAATTCGTGAACGGAAACTGTGCACGCAGGACTAAGCTTCGGCACTGATGGGCTTAAGGATGAAACACACAATCAATGTTTTAGTAGCATTCATATGGCATGACAGGGACGAACTCGGCTTTAGGAGCATTCATATGGCATGACAGGGACGAACTATCACACGCTGTCCCTCTGCACACTAGTTCGACGCACTGCATCGTGCGTTGGTCCTCTGGGTAGGTGGCCACTTTGGATATCAACTGACTGTGAAGCATTAGGCGCGCCTGGTAGGAACAGCTTTTGAGCAAGCAAGATGTCTGCCGTTAGGTTTCCAAAATTGGACGGTTTTATTGTTGTCTTCATTTTGAAACACCATCACTCACAATGGCTAGGACGCGTGCTGTGATCGATTGCCTCAGTAAGCCATATTCGACTCCACAAGAGAAAGTTGAATAAAAAAAAGTTGGAGGTCAATAATGAATGAGTGCATGAAATTAATCGATGACGAGTGGAAATTCAGTGTTCAAACACGAAACGAAGATATGCCTCAAATAACCAGTGCGCCAAGTATGCCGTTGCACTTATGATCAGTTGAGATGCCGCTGTGTCAAACATCGTACTCCTAGTGTGGTGCTTCAAAATGTAAAAGCTAGAATAGCTTCTGCTCCACGAATTCTCGAAGCATTTGGAATCGTTTGACCTCATGGCGGTCACCAACTAATCGACCCCGCACCCGAATAGCTATTGATTACGAGGATCTCCCCTTCTGGAATGCCTATGTGGACCGCAGTGACCCATTCATACATCGCCACTTTTCATTCTACTTCTCTGTTATACGCAAAATACGCACCCCACCTGGCTACTGAGAAACTCATGGACTCAAAAGTCAACTAAATATTTCGTAGACGGCTTCTCCACCACCCACCTGGGGATTTCAGGTGTGAGGGACCACTTGTTCGAGATATTCAAAGCTGTATGCGAAGCCAAAACAGCGTTTGCGGTCATTTCCAGCCAGTCTTTCTCGAGTTTTGGGATTTGTTGCAGATCTGAAGACAGATTCCCTCCGGTTGCAACCAAAACCCGACGCCAATTAAAACTGAGTGTACATACAGATTGGGAAGCCTGGTGGATCCAGGACATCAAAGATATGGAATGAACTAAAAATTGTGGGAATGCCCCCAAATTGTTTCATTTGGTTTCTAAAACAGGACCCAGGAGACCTTTTGTCAATGAAGTCATCAGGGATTCTAGTGATAATTTGCTACTTATGATTTAGACTGCTGGTCAGTACCGGAAACATGGACTGCGAATATGGAACCCATTTCATTTCAGAATCGTATGATTGTATATCCGCAATCAAGTGTCACGATGATCTCCCACCTTGCCGGATTCTCACTTAATACCTGTTTGACTTATTTATCTGCCTAGAAGACAGAGGCCGTCCCAAACAGTTGGAGCACGTCCTTCATAGTGCCTATTTTAAAATGTGTACCCGCAGCGAATGTGGTAACCCAAGAGGTGTCACTCTAAGCGCTTGTAACAGAGCTTCCAGCATCACTGATTCTCTGTCGTCCTACAGCGACACGCGAAACACTGGCAGCAGGCGAGATTCCGACCGGGTGGAGACGACATTGATCACTTTCTCATTCCGCCAGCTGTTAGGGGAACACCGTGTATGCAAACGAACCAGTCTTGGTATTTCTTTTCTTTCATGAGTGTACTCCATTCTATCGACCAGCTAGTTCTTTGAATGTCCCTTAGAAACTCTCCTAATTCATCGGTTGAATTTGTAATGAGGCAAATAGAAGACGTGCTCTTGGTTGCATACCTCAGTCATGGAAAATATCCAGTACTGCGCACTGCGGTGTCTCGGTCGTGTTCCATGCACGCCCGATCATAATCTCTCAGGAGCAGCGTTGCTTTGTCTTTTCTCAAGAATGAAGCGAATTGTGTGGTGTACAACAAATGACTTTACAAAAGCGTTTGAAAGAGATAAGTCATAGTTTGAGTGTTGTTGGCAGAGTCCAGGTGACCTTCATCGCACTTGGCTGGAAACTGTAAGATGTGGTGGCTAATCGATGCAGTTTGTGCTGTCAGCTTTTTCTCGGTTGTGTAACTGAGCTTTTGGAGGCATACGACGGCATCGTACGTACATTCTTAGTGTTACGGTTTTTCGGAATTCCACTTCACTTCTATCTGGTTTAATTAGAATGACAACTACCAATCGATATTGTTCTTTCAAGGACGCTTACGTTAGTAAAGTATTCGGCGCTTTAAGTTAATATCTCTGAACATACACAAACCTAAACGCTACTCAATATGATCGAGACAGTCCCCATGTGTTTTGAACCGGTTTTGCTGGTCAAAACAGATGTACCAGTTCAATCCACAGTAATGTTGTCAACACCCCATAGGCATCCTACGGACTTAGGCCATACGAATATGATATGGTGATTAAACTACTGGGCTGATATGGATGAAATTTGAGAGGCGATACTGACAGCACAGGCTGATCTCATCTGCAAGATGACATATTAACACGGAAACGTAGAAGTGCCAAAAAGCACCCATTGGACCTCCAAAATATTCGTTTTTGTATATTGTAAAGAAACGACTATCCATCCACTCAATTATCAAAGTAGATCTGAGTCAACTTATAACTTTTTTCACTGAGTTCGGTGTACCCATCGTGTGTTCAAAACAAAACGATGATATCATCTCAACCTTTTTTTGGAGATTAGGAGAGAGTTCGATTAGACGGCACTTCACTTCATCCAAGGAGTGCGAGATGGCCCAAGTGCTTAGAGCGCGAATTTACTGACCGAAAGGTTCGTGGTTCGAACCCGACCTCTGCCACTCGATTTCCCCTGTCTAGGCCTGGGCGACCTGGCAGTATCCCAGCCCTCGTGCTTCCTCCGCATGGCATGGCAGCTAGGCACCGGAAGGGTGTTACAGCTGAACGATTATTTGATTATTTCATTTCATCCAATTCAACCAGTGTTAACGCGCTAGCTTTTCAATGTAGCCTTTGTCGAGACTAACCTCGGTATATCTACCAACACCGGGGATGATAGTGCCGCGCTACGTTTTTTAGGTTCATTCCGGCCATAAGATACACTGAGTAATTTAACTTGTGCCCCCGTGCACCTTGCACCTTCAAATTGCGAGGCCATATGACTGGATGAGTGCTCTGCTAAGGCTGGTTATGGCGCCGAGACCACTATAGGTAGCTACCATCTTTAATTATCTGAGTAGTTGCTCCACATCTGATGGTAAAGTAGCCGTCAAAATATATCCCAGAGTCAGGCCCGTTCTGCTTTACTTCAAATTGGGTTCCCCGTGGGTCGACTTGACATTAGCCCGCCGATTGAGTATAAAGCATGGTATTTATATCTACGGTAGTGAAGCATCAGTGCCAACACTGATGTTGCTGTCTTTGATGATGATGATAATTTATATCGTGGGTACATCTTATTAGCAGTAACAATATACAACCAATAATTTCTGGCAACAGATCAGCTGCTTATCCAATTGCTAAGTTGGTTCGGCTTCACGAGCTACCGTGGCTTGGTTGTGTGAGTTTTATTCCAGGTGACCGTCTGCCTTGTCGTGCTCTGTTTGCTTAGGCAGGTCCTGACTGGAAGATACCACGAAATAGGCAACTTCTCATCTGAAGACGCAACATGAAAAACACAAAGGTAGATCTTAGGTGCACTGATGTATGTCTTCTGCAAGCTTGGTCTGTCAGAACAACTAAAAAGACCCATGTCCATGGTGTTTCCACGTAACCGGAAGCGCTGGTTTGACTATTCCTAATCATCAGTCCCCTACTGCCCTGTTACTATTTTGTACACACCATACCCGTATTCACTGTCGACTACCCTAAGTTGTGCTGACCCGAAGCAGCGCACATACGTACACTTTTCACGCCTGTCTAACTGAACTGAATTGCAGTGATGCCTATACCATGACGTATAGATTTTGAACAATAGACCAAACGATTGTCAATCCTACGCGCGGTTATCCCATAACACCTTACTCGTAGTTGTTAGGCTACACGAATGAATACTGCGCCATAGTAACCGTAAGCCATCTCCGTGCGGTCGATTCAGGGTGCTGGTCCTGCGCGGACTGTTTTTAGGAGTCTTGACAGTGTGAATCGCCCAAACACGTCTGGTAGGCCCATAGACTCATTTTGATTATCCACTTTATTTTAGACACATTGGAAATAATTGGATAGCAAGAATAGTCGAAACTCCGTTATCAGCAACAAACTGGGTGTGCGGAAACTTTATACTCAGTCACTCCTCGTTATCTTCTGACTAAGCATTGATGAAGCGATGTAACTGACAGTTGTTCAGCGTTCTCAAACAGACGGTTTCGATATATCCCATAATGGACTGAAATTTGTATTAGATCACGTGCTGAAAGGGTTATTCTGCAAGGTTTTTTGTCAGATCAGAATGTCTATGGCTTAGACAGAACTGGCTGTTCCATCACGCTTGCGACATTGGCAGTCGCATAATCGAATGCCTCAGGGTCATCTTTTGGTGCACATGTATGCTAAAAAGCTATCACTAGCGCGCAAGTATTGATTAGACTGGGTCAATTGAATTGTCGATGTCGAGCTCTCGAATGATCCTCCAAACAGCTCAGAATGTATTGTCTCGTTGTCGATGGGGATCTGGTTATCCTAACTTCGGTGGGGAAAGCTCAATCTATTGGAGTTGACGCAAACGTTCTCAAACAGTTGATTGGGGGCATGGTTGTCTGCTTGAACTTCACAAAAACAAACGGTCTAGCCTCATTGAGGACAAGTAAAGTACATTTCTCATGAGCCGGGTAGTTAGTTGACCTGTATGCAAAGTGGTGGCTTGTATCAAGGAACTGTCTTGACTGTTCGAAACTCATCTTTCTTCGAACTCCGCAAACTCCTGAAACCGGTATTATCTGATGTTTCAAATCTCTATACAAATCTAATAAATCCTCCATGTGGAGTACCAATAGTGCAGTGGTAAATGTGTGATGCTGGCATCACACGCCATCTCATTCATATTTTCAACGGACGATCAAGTTTGGTATAGTGGCTTAGAGCACAAGCAATGGGGTGGGATGGCAAAATGGTTTCATTATACTGGTATTGTCAGAGGCTGTTTTCGCGTGAAAAGCGGAATTTGCGAGTTTACCTGAGCCCATCCACGTAGAGAATTGTGTTTCCGTAAGTTCCTACTTTCGAGGCTTCTTGCTGCATATGTGGCCGCCGGCATGCTTCATGTTCTTTGTCGTTGACCTGAATTTTCTCATTTCTCAGGGCTCTTTGTACCCAAGTTCTATATTACGCCTGTCGATGATCCTTGTTATTTAGACCTGTTTGAATTATCTGTCCTATAAAAGGTCTAATCTGTGCATAATTGCACAGGGCTAACGTTGTTCGCAACTTCGCGCTCACACTATTTTGTCAATGATCTCAAAGAGTGAATGCTCATTGGTCTTGAGTCACTGCGTCACCCACCACCCTAGCTGAACTCCATTACCCGTGGGAAAGGCTTTTTCTACTCTAAATACTTAGCGTTCACTTAAGTCTAAATTTTGATGGTAAGTTTAGAAATCTTGCTAGCTTTCTCCGACTTTAGCTCATCAGGTGAGTATAATTTAGTGGTTCAAGTCACACTGAGTTCATGCGAAAGAAAACTACTGGCCACGGTTTTCTCGGCCTTCCTCAGCATTACCTGTTTATCCATTGTACAGGCCTGCCTATCCAACAATGACTCTACAGGCGAACCATTCCCAAGTTTTTATCAAGAGGCTCTTCACCGGTTTCCCGGATTCAGCTTAGCCCTGGTAATTTTATAAAACTTTTAGATTAATTACCCTCGGTGATTTTGGCTTCAGCAACTTAGTGTCAACATTCTTGCACTCTGCATTTATTCATTTTCCGTTACAGCTTCAAAACTTCTTTTGCCTTGGATCACCACTACCCGTGTACTTGACTCTCCGTGGCATTCGACCTGGGGCTTATACAACACAGGATAGTATTCTCCCGCGCCATCTGTGCCGTCGTATTCTCAACGTCTATCATCCTTCAGATCCTGTTGTGAGTGCTGCTTCCAAAACGCAAGCACTAACTAGTTCATGAATATCTATTTTTAGCCAACACTTGACGTTAACCATCCTGTTGTATCTCGAATTTAGTGCCAATCAAAATACTCACTCTCAATCAATCAAGTTTTCAGCGATCACAGAATCTACGACTTCATTCTCATGATCTGGTCATGTTTTACCAGTATTATGGCTGCTGAAAGCATGCGGAATGGCATCACACCACGGTTCCGTTCAAATATGAAAATTATGCCTGTTATCTACCTGTTCCACCTTCAAGCACATATTACATAAGTGAATGAATCGATTAACTTGGATTATTGGAAATCTTGAGCTTCTTCAATGCATCACTTAATGGTGATTCTTCCACATGTGAGATGGACGATGAGTGTTTTATGACCTTTCCTGACCGTATCGTAAAAGTTCATAGCACACAGTTTCACATAGCCATCTGTTGAAAAGTTTCTAGTTCTGGTCGATACCTGAGCTGTTGGTCAACGGACCCGCTGAAAGAACAACCGTCATGTGGTAATCGCATGAGCATCCAGACTGATTTTCGATAAGGGCATAGACGATCAAAAGTGTGTCAGTGAAAGCAGCCACTTTGCATCATTCAGCGACAAGTCAATCTACAGAAAAGTCAACCTTTATATCACCCTCCCAGATTCTGCACTGGGGTAGGCCTCGAAGAAAAATTCACGCAGTGACACTGGACTGTGATATTTTGATGACCCTTAAACTAGAGGATACTACAGAGAAGCCTCTTAAATTTCGAATACTACCAAATGACCAGACATGCTGTCTATACAATCCGCCGTTAAGAATGAACTAGCGACCAGTTGAAGCTTCATTTTACAAAGCACTCTGAAACGTGGCCCAGCATGGAAAACTATGGACTGATGACACCATCGATCCACACGCAATGTGAGAGAACCATTAAATACTGTTCGATCGGACTAGAATAGTTTAAAAGAACTTGCCCCAGTACGGTGAATGGTGGAGTGCTCATTATCTGACGCTTGTGCACGAAAACCGGTCAACGCCTAACTCTGTGAGTGAGATTTTTCCATACTGCTGTATGCTGTGACTCAACGTTACGATAACTTCGATCGCGACTGTCTTTTCCAATTCAACCAATCAGCCAGCTTATTCGAAGTTTAACCTTATTGTATTCAGCAATTGTGGAAGTAAACCCTTCAATGTAGAAGCCACTCGTCAGGAGAGTCAAAAGTCTCCCTGAATATGGGTCATCCTTGTATCACGGTTTTTACGGATTTGCGTCCGTAATTGCTCCGTAGCACTTAATGAGCTTATTAACTTTTTATCTAATCAAACAGAGTTGTGTTCCTTTTAAGGACTTGATCAAGTTCTTTATTGACTGTTGCGTTCATCGATTGGTCTGCGTTACATTATCTACTACTTCTGAAGGGTTGTGATAACGTCAGTAGGTATTGGAGTTACTACTTCGTGCGCCTATCTCAACTTTGAACACAGGACTTGTGCTTGGTGTGGTTCGAAAAGTCAGACCAGTTTCGCCCGTATTCGACAATGCTAGGTAAACTGCCTAACTCAATAAATTGCAGTCGTTTCTTCCAGAAACTTGTAGTGTTGGCGGATCTGCTCCGTCACCAAAATTTGAACCAGTCATTGATGCGTGCGTGGTGACTGTCCAATATAAGGGCGCTCTAACCACCCCCATTGATATGGTTTATGTTCGGTGTCCCGAGTGAGTGTCGGTTGGTTTCATGGTTCTGCTGAGATCCTGGTAGGCAAACCCTTGAAAAAACTCACCAGGAGGCCTCAGGTGGCGGTCTCTGCATTCAAATGTCAAGTTCAGATGCCTTGGCTACAGTACCTAGCATTTTAGTTGTGGCTTGTAAACAAACACGCGCATGCGCAAACACAAGTCTGTATGTCATATTTCCGTTCAGCTAATAATCGCTCATGCATACTGGCTGTGATGTGACCGGAGACAAAGTAAAGCGGTTCCAAGTGTGTCTAGTGTTATCGCGGTATCTTCAGATGTTATTTTGAACGTGCCACATTGTATTAGCGCTTCGGCAACCTGAATCTGTTTACATACAAGTTTGTGTACCGGAATGGAATACTCCAGGATGTACACTATAAAAACTCCCCACTTACAAAACCAACATCCGTTCGAAAAGGACGGCCTCATCATCATCATCATCATCATCATCATCAACGACAGCATGACATCAGTGCTCAACACCAATGCTTCACTGCCGTACAGCCATGACTTATTTGAAAGCCTTATTGTAAAGAAA